AGAGGTGGACATCATCTAATTTAATTCATTTTGAACCTGCAGGAAAATCAGATACAGTGGTACAGATGATATATTTGACATTATACTAATGTTTCGAGCGCTACACTTGTTAAGACAATACCCCTGACAGTTCTTTGTTGAGCTGAAGCAGTTGAATCAAGCAACAGCAGAGCTTTTGCTTATTAACTAATTGTCACTTTTTTAAATATCATGAGTACTGATTGTTCTCTGATACAGGCTTTAACTGGTAGATTTTCCTCAGTTCTTCTAATACTAATAAGAACATTTTGAACACCCTGTTCTGACAGGATGACACAGCAGAGTTTGGTTTGATGACACAGCGGAGAATAGTTGCTGCAAAGGTGTTTGCAGCAACTATTCAAGCGATTACTTCACTAATATGACTGCATTAGACTGCAGTGAGTATGTAGTATATTTAAGTAGCTCCAGTTTCTTAGAGCAAGCGTAAGAGGCCAAAGACGTCTAACGTAAGCTGATCTTTAATGTAAAACCTCAGCTTTGCTGCAGCCACTGTTGTCTGCACTGGTTGCTTTTCCATGCACTAATGGCAGACAGACAGAGTGATGGCCCAGAGGAACAGAGAAAGCTCCTCTGGGTGCTTCCTCTGCTGCAGGATGTGGTTGGAAAACCACACAAACGAGATAAAAAAGTCAGGTTTGTTAAAGGTCACCAGCAGCCAATTCTTATCCCTTCTCACTCTGGCTTTCCCTTATTGGCTGCTAGTGGTAATCATGACCTTTTCTCCACTCCCCCCGCCCCTCTCTCACACACACACACACATATAAAATGAAGACATTGACAGACACACACCAGTGCATCCACACATTCAGCCCCACACACATGCAAACAAATTCACACTATCCTCCAGTCAATGATGAGGTATCTCTTTTGCAGGGGGAGCGAGGCAGAGACGGGGATCTGGGGAGTCCCGGCGTGCCGGTGAGTGTAGAGTCCTTCTGCTTCCACTGGGTGGCAGCGGAGCGTATGTTTTCAAACGCTGTGTTCAAAATGTGTGTTTCCTGTGTGTGTGTGTGCACAGTTACTTGAACCAAATGTCCCCACAAGGACACAGGGATGGGACTTACACGGAGCTAATTTGGGCTCACATCATGAGGTTACTTTAAACTAGTTTAGGTTGGGGAAAAATAGAGAATTGATGAAATTTGACCAAACCAGTATCTTGTTAGAATTTCTTTTCTTTAGCTATCTGTAGCTAATAAACTGGAGCCCTTTACAGTCCTTACAGATCAAGTCAAACGTTTACACACATCCATCATGAATGT